CACATCCCCAACCCGCCGCACTTCTCCTGAAACAGCCACCCTCACAGCCGGCTCCGACGCCACCATCGGCAAATACGACGCCTCCGCACCCCCACCCCCCGCAACAGCACCACCAGCAGCAACCGCAGCCGAATACGACCTCTCCATCGCGCTCAACTACGGCCAGGCCACGGGCTCCGCCCAGATGACGCGCTTCGCCGTCGAGCACGTCGAGCTGGTCGGCGCCCCGCCCTACGCCGACTGGGGCGTGTGCCTGACCGTCGGCAGCACGGGCGCCCTCGAACAGGCCCTGCGCATGCTGTGCGACGGTCCGGGGCGCGGCGATACCCTGCTGACGGAGGAGTTTTCCTTCTCGACCGCGCTGGAGACGGCCGCGCCGTTGCGGGTGGGCGTCGTGGGCGTGGGGATGGATGGGGAGGGGTTGGTGCCCGAGAGGATGGAGGAGGTGTTGGCCAGGTGGGATGTCAAGGCTCGGGGCGGGCGGGCCAAGCCGAGGGTGTTGTACACCGTGCCGTCGGGGCAGAACCCGACGGGCGCGACGCAGAGCGTGGAGAGGCGCAGGGCCATCTATGAGGTGGCGAGGCGGCATGACGTGTTTATTCTCGAGGACGAGCCGTACTATTACCTGCAGATGCAGGAGCCGGGGACGGAAGCGCCCAAGAGTGTGGAGGCGTTTTTGGAGGGCCTGATCCCCACGTATCTGAGCATGGATGTGGACGGGCGCGTGATGCGCATGGATTCGTTTTCCAAGGTCGTGGTGCCCGGGTCGCGTATGGGCTGGATCACGGCGTCGGAGCAGATTGTGGAGCGGTTTGTTCGCCATGCCGAGGTGGCTAATCAGGGGCCGAGCGGGTTCTCGCAGGTGATTCTGCATAAGCTGCTGGACGAGCAGTGGGGGCATGAGGGCTACTTCAGGTGGTTGATGAATTTGAGGATGGAGTACACCAAGCGGCGGGATGTCATGTCGGCGGCGTGTGATGAGTTTCTGCCTAGGGAAGTGGTCAGCTGGAAACCGCCGCAGGCCGGCATGTTTGTGAGTTCTTTTTTTCCTCCACCCCGCCTCCCCCCTCCCGTACGCCTTGTTCTTTTCCCAGATGTAGCAGGTACTAACAGATGGGATCTAGCAATGGCTGAAGGTCAACTATGAGCTGCACCCTCGCGCCGCGAGCAAGAGCATCATGGAGATTGAGGAGGAGATATACAACAGCTGCATAGCAAAGGGGGTGTTGGTGGCCCGCGGGTCTTGGTTCCGTGCCGAGCAAGATGTCCCGCCGTCGGGGCTGTATCTCCGGGCCACGTTTGCGGCGGCCACGCCCGAGAATATGAGGGAGGCTATTCGGCGGTTGGGGGAAGCCATTCGGGAAAGTTATCAGCTGTGAGGTGGTGGATGGGGGGCGGTGAAGGTGTTGATAGTTTATGTATGGGGTATGACGCAATATGTTTAGATGATTTTTGTGCTGGCTTTTGTTGTGTATTGGTGAAATTCGTGGGGTGGACAAGGAGATTGTTGGTTGGACTCGAGGGCTGCATCAAGATTCATAGAGAGAAATCGAGTAGATAGATCTGTCAATTTCAAGCAATCCACAGGGAAAAACCTAGCACAATGTAACATGAGAGTAATAGAGGGTCATCGAGAAAGCAAATGAGATGAGCGTCATGTGTTGTTGCTGGCTGATACGCTAGCTATTTGTCATGAAACCAAACCAATCCAACGCCAAAATCATCATGGTATATCGTACATCCAGCAACAAGCGGCCCAATAATAAACATGGAAACACAACATCAGTTCATCACAGTATGTTGCAACCCAGTCCCTCGCATCCATAGATAGACAGCCACCCCCAACCCCAACCTTTTCCCTCTTGCTCACTCACTTACTGCTTCTCCCCCTCCTTCGCCTCCCACAGCCCCACCACAACGCCCTTACCCGGCTGCAGCACGATATCGGCCTTGAGCACGGGCTCCCCGCCATCCAGCGGCGCCATGTGGTTATCGATGCGGTCGTAGCGCTGAAACAGGCGGGTCAGCACGTAGGCCATCTCGGTGAGGGCGAACTGCTGGCCGATGCAGATGCGCGGCCCACCGTTGAAGGGGATGTACTGCCACGGCTTGGGCTGCCAGTGGAACCAGCGCTCCGGCGAGAACTCGGCCGGCGGCGCGAAGGTGGCGCTCGCGGGCGGGTACAGGTCCTCGCGCCGCTGCATCACGAGCGTCGAGTAGCCGATCGGCGTGTCCTTGAGGACTTTGACGGGGTCGAGACCGGCTGGGCCGCCGCCCCGCGGGAGGGTGGTATCTTTGAGGGCGAGGCGGACGCTGGGTTGGGGAGGTCGGGGGTTAGTATGTATAATGGGGGGTAATGAGGTAAATGGTGGGGGGCGTACTTGTAGGGGACGATGGGGTACAGCCGGAGGGTCTCGTTCATGACGTTTTGCAGGTACTTCATGCTCTTGAGGTCGTCGTAGGTGGGCGCCCTGGTGGGGCCGACCACGGAGAGAATTTCGGCGCGCAACTTCTCGAGAATCTCCGGGTGGCGCGCGAGCTCGTAGATGGTCCAGGACAGCGTGCAGGCGGTGGTGTCGCGGCCGGCGAGCAGCACGGCGATCAGCTGGTCGCGCAGCACCTGGCGGTCGCGCGTGTATCCGGCGAGCGCGTGGAGGAAGGTGTAGCCTGAGTCGCTCTTGGATTTGCTGGCCAGCTCCTCGGGGGTGAGGCGGAGAGTGCGCTCGATGTAGAGGTTGATGAAGCGGTTGATCACCTCCATGTTCTTGTTGAACGAGGCGCGTGGGACGAGCTTGTTGAGGGCACCAGAGCGGGCGATGATGCCCTGAACCCGCTGGACCTCGCCGAAGGCCTCGGCAAATTCTTGATGGGGGTTGCTAGGGGAAGTGAGTTTTGGTAATGCACGGATTAGATGTGGTAGGAACCGGGCGCAACAAACCTGAGCGACTTGAGATCGTGACCCAAGAGAAAGTCAGTGGCTGAGTCCAGTGTGAAGCGGAAAAATAGGTCGCAAATATCCACGGGCTTCCCGTTGCCGGCCTCGATGTCGACATGTTGGTTCTCGCCGTTCAGGGCGCCCCCGTTCGCGATGGCGCGGAAGAGGGTCTGCATGTGGCTCTCGAAGACGTGCAGATCGCTGACGCGGTCCTTGATGAACTGCGGGCGAATCAACTGGCGGCTGTCATGCCACATGGCGCCGTCGGTGGTGAAGATACTATCGCCCAGGAAGGCTTTCCATTCTTCGTGGAAGGGCTCGCCCTTGCCATAGTCGTTGAACTGCGTGGCTAGGATAGCCTTGATGTTCTCATGGTCGGCGGTGAAGATGATGCGGCGGCCAGCAATGCGGCCTTCGACCGTGTGAGAAGGGGCATTCTTGAACATGTCGTGCCAGAATAGGTGGGTCTCATTCTTCTTTCCGGCGGTGATGCCAGCCCAGAGAAAGTCGAGGCCTTTGTCGTGTCAGCTACTGCTCCCCGGAGGCAATGTACGGCCTGAGCCAAGAAGGATTACTCACTGAATGGCATCGTCGACTTGATAGGGGAGGCCCTTGATCCCGGCTTCTGGGATAACTTCATCTCCTGCCATGCGGGCCGCACGATGACAGCCATAATTATGTAGGTCAGGAGAAGGCCTGGCACGAGGGCCAGGACCAACTTGACGGAGGCATAGTCGATGAGAGCCTCGACGAGTCCCATTGTGAGTTGGTCCGGCTAGCCGAATGGGCCGACACTGGGAGTAGAAGGGAGTACGAGTAGTTGTGAGCCGGTTGGTGAGCAGGGCTAGGTGACAAGTCGGGGGTTTAAGCCCAAGGACAAGCTAGGAGCGGGTGTGTGCCTGGACAGGGAAGACTGTTGTTGAGCAACGATGCAAATCGGGGTTGCGTTTGAGGTATGTATGTATGTACAGTTAGACGGTAGGTATGCTTGTCAAGTTATATGGAACGGCGAGGGCGTCAGGAATTGGAAATTCAAGGGTCCCTTTTGTTTCTATTCGTCCTCGCTTGGAACAGAGGATCCTTCCTTGGTAGCTTGGCTGCGGGGGGGAGCCGGTGTTGATAGACGGCCGAACCCCGAGAATATGTATTTAGATGGTTCAGAACCAGGAGACAGCCGTGTTTGGGTCGTAGGAATTAATATTGCACAGGACATGAGGAGGGAGATGAGCGAGACATCTCTCCCAAGTCCTAACTATCGGAGACAAGCCGTAACAAGGCCGTGTGCCGAGAACGAAAAAGAACGGAAACCCCGAGAGTGGAGGGGGAAGTTGGAGACGGATAGTGAGTTAGCCGTTGAGAGCCCTGCATGCAGGTTCGGCCACACTCAACGATTTCTCTACCAACAAGCACGGTTGGATCTAAACGGGGAGTGACGTGATGTGTTTTCGGGAACAAAGAAGACCACCCCGCTTGCGACAGGATCAGCCCATAGCCGCTTGCAATTTATCCTTGCTTGTTGCATTGTCGCCGCCCGCGGGCCCCGTCTGCGGTATCGTAATAACATGGTAAACTATCCAGTTGCCTGCGTTGCCGGTCGGGTATTCTCCAGCCCCCAACTGTGTAATCTCTCTCGGCAGCCTGGCAGCGTGGTGTGCGACCAACTTGTGCAAGCTTGCGAAAAGGCGGGGAAGTCGAAACCAAGGCTGGGGTAACGCGGCGATCCCATGTGGAAGCTGTCTCGGTCGTCCTACCTCGTGGGGTCCATCGGTGATGCGGCGTCCTGTCCCTGGGTAGGTATTTCTGGTATTGGTGTAACGAATCAATCAACTTACCATACCAAGTACAGGACTTTGAAAAGCGATGTCGGGCATTTTGTGCGCCGTTACTCCACGAGATGCGTGGATCAGGCTGTGGTTCTAGAATAAACCTAGAATCCATGCCTGGGAAAGTGTTTGTTTGTACGAAGTAGGTACTCAACCTTCAATTCAAATTCGGAGATCGAGCAGTAATTTTAGACGGCTACCCCACGACGGCAGGCGCAGGGCTTTACCTATTCCCAAACCGGCGCATTTCAGACAACTTCCTCTTCGTTCCTTCCCTCCTTTCGGTGGATGGATCCTACGAAGTGTCTTGGGTCTTAAGACATGGAAAGCATGTATTTGTATTCCGCCCCCACAATCTCATGCACTCCGCGCCGATGATCGCGGATTTCCCGAGCCTCCTTCGGGGTGGAGCAACCCTCCTGTCCGACGGAGCGGAGGGAGCGACGGAGGATAGCCCGATGGACCACACATATCCCGATGTCCGAGGGGAGGGAGCAACTTGGCTCCGTGTATAACAGAGACATTGTAATGTGTACGAAGTGCTGTTACGGACAGCCGGGTGGTTATTACAAGGGGTTTGACGGGATGGTGGAGATTGCCCCCCGCTCATCATCACGTACCGAGACAGTACGAATTGACCAAGGCAAGCCACGTAGGCACACACGAATCGAGAGTCCAGTAAAGGCAGCACAAGACATTAGGTAGTTGACGTTATGCGTTCGGAAACAAGCCGTACGGTTCATGGCACCGGATGTTTCCCGAATCCGCTGGCACCCCCCCCCCCCCTAGGCAAGGGTCCGGAACCACTCCGCTCGATAATGCAACCCCCATACCAAGACCAGCATGAACAGCACCAAGCACCAAACCCCAATGGCCACAGCAAAAGGAGGAACACAGAGCAAAAAGGAACAACACCACCACCACTCACACCCCTAACACTCCTCACGGACGGAACTCACACTCCTCGGGCGAGCCCTGGGTACAGAAGGTCATGTGGACGGGGGAGCTGCGGACGCCCCTGCGGACCATGCGCTCGCGGAACTCGCTCAGGCGCGGGGCGGCGTCGAGCTGGGTCCTGTTCTGGCCGGCGGCGTCGGTGCGGCCGGACCAGAGCACCTCGCCGGCGGCGCTGGCGCGCGGCCAGACGATGGTGTCGAGGTTGATGGGGTCGATGGTCTCGCTCCACAGCGTGACCTCGCCGCCCAGCACCAGCTTGGCCTCTTCCTCCGTCAGCCCGGCCGTGGGGTCGTGCGAGTACACCAACCGCCAGCCCTTGGCCGGGCTGCACCAGTCGTTGAACGGCCAGCCCTGCGCAAAGGCGTCGCCGTTGGCCCAGTTGAGCCACTGGCCGCGGCCGCAGTCGAGGTACTGCGTGGTGTGTTAGTTCGGCCGGGGTTGATGGTATGGGAGAATAAAGTAAGTGGATCGTGATGGCTTACCCAGAAGTTGTAGTTGCTGTCAATGACCGGGTGGCCCATGCTCGTCACCTTCTTGACGGAATCCCCTCCCAGCCACGTGTGGATGACCGTGTCCTGGGCCATGGTGACGTTCCACTCGAGCGGGATCTCCTCCCAGGCGATGGGCGTCAGGCCGGCCTTGCGGACGCGCGCGTGCTGCGTGTCGATGAACTTTTGCAGAAGCGGCTGCAGCACCTCCGACGAGTTGGAGCGGATACCTTCGTCGAGCATCGAGTCGTTCTTGTTGAGCTCGTCGCCACCCGTGTGGAAGTAGGCCGCGTGCGGCGCCAGGCGCGGTAGTAGGTCGTCGAACAGCTTGTCGAGGAAATCGTCCACGGCCGTGTTGTTAAGCTTGAAAGCGCCGCACGGCGGCTCCGCGCACCACCACTGATAGGGCTGCTCGTTGTAGGCGACGATCAACTCAGGATGCGACAGCGACACCACGCCGATGTGGCCCGGCATGTCGATCTCGAAGTAGACCTCGACGCCGCGCGCCGCGCCGAACGTCTGGATACGCTCGATGTCTTCGGGCGAATAGGTCTGGCTCGGGTGGTAGGCGCCCTTCTCCGAAATCTCAGGCATCGAGGGGATCTCGAGCGGCCACGATTGCGAATCGGTCACGTGCACGTGCAGCCGGTTCATCTTGTTCCAGGACATGGCGTCGATGGTACGCAGGATGTCGTCCACGGGGAAGAAGAAGCGCGCCGTGTCCATCATGGCGCCGCGGTGCTGGAATTTAGGCGCGTCCTGGACCGACACGGGCGCGAATGGCGTGTACCAGAACGTGCCGGCCGAGTGCTGGTAGAAGAGTTGGGAGAAGGTCTCGAGGCCGCGGAGGACGCCGATTGATGAGACGGTCGTGAGCTTGACGGCACCCTCGGCGCTGACGGTCAGGTTGTACGACTCGTCAACCTCGCCGGCGAGCGGCTTGAAGGTGCTCGCCTTATCCTCGCCCGTCTGCACGATTTCTAGCGTCTCGAGCCATTTTTGGCCCTTTGACAGATCTGGCTCAAACGTGGAACCAGGCTTGTGCAGCATCCAGGGCACGAACTTGCTGTCGAAGATGCCGGCGAGTGTCCGGGATAGGCCCGCCTGCACGACCTCCCTGCTGGTCAATTTGGAGGGCTCATATCCGTAGGTGTACGGAATCTGTTGGAACAGGAACTGTTTAGTATCCGCACCTTCGTCAAGGCACTCGCGATGGGGAGAAGAAGACCAGCATACAGATTCGCCATTATAGGTGACCTTGATGTTTTGGTGCAGGTACAAAACAGAGCTGCCCTTGGTCAAGCTCTGGGGTGCCGGCCAGATTGCCGCGACAGGTTGAAGGGCGATTAGGGAAAGGGAAAGACAAGAAAGTAGCGGTGACCACATCTTGCCAGTCAATTCATGAACTGTCGTGTGGTGTGGGCGGAGAACATCAAGAAATTTGGAGGGGGAGCCCGTTTTGATAAATAGGTAGTTATGGGCTCAGTAAGGCGCGGCAGGCAGGGGGGCTGGAATGTTTCTTGGAGCTAGGATTTTATGCTTGGATGCTCATTCGGGGATATTAATGAGACAGATCAGATGGTTGGCGGGCTCGGGTTGATCCAATTGGCAATCAACAGGACCATGCGAGCATGCTTCGGCACCGTTGCACAGGTTGGTTGCAACCCGAGAGGGGAGAACCAAAGAAACGGGGAAAGCCCGTGTTTGTTTGTGATGGTTGGATGAGTGTTGACGGCGTCGGCGGGGGATGTCACCCCGTGCAGTCCGCCGCTGTTGGTGGATGGAACCACGGGCGCTGCGGGCTCACTAACACGGCCAGCTGCGGGTTGGGTGCACACCGGCCGATCCACGAGGCTGGATTCAGCACAGCTCATCTGGGAGTCCAGTCAGCTGGTGGTGTGGGTTTTGCTTTGCCGTGTGGTGCTGATCGAAATCTAGCTCTTGCTGGGAACCACGCAGAAGGGACAAGGCGCAACGTTACACCCCTGCCCCAGTCAAGGAGCCAAGTCGTCAATAACTAAACCACATCGGGACTTCGAGGTAGCTTGGAAGATGGTGTTCTGATGAATCGGAGGAATTACGAAGTAATGGTGTCGAAAAGTTGCAACTTGAACCAAGAAGGCGATCTTTGCGGCACCTTTGCTTCCATTAACTACTCGGCTTGGCGACGCGTCTGCCTGCCGTCACCAAGCACTTCTTCCTTCCTGAACGAGGTCGATCATCGGACGATCGCAGGTGCGGGCCGAGACCAGCAGCCTGGCTCCCGCTAGCCAAAAAAGGGTGAACTCGAGAGGGAGCAAAAATATCAAGAAAAAGAGACAAACGTAAAAGAATCGACTAAAGTAAAAACTAGACTTTGGGCTTCCGAAAGGTTTTCATTTCCTTCCTCTAGTCGAAGGTTTCGTCGGCACCTCCATAATTTGTACACCTGGTGTTCGGCATTTTTTTGCCTATGGCCCAGGCCCGTTCGAAGGTCGCTCACGATACAAAGCAGTTGGATGCCCAATCGTAAAGGCACCGAGGCTCCACTGGAACTAACTCGAGGTGAAGAGAAGTGCTACGCAGTTATAAGGTTGCAGCTGTATCGCAGCATGCGAGCATGTTCAGATTTGGAGCTTTAGTGCAGAGGGACGGCGTGTTCGTTGTTGCCGAGTCGTTGGCATTGGGACGCCGCCTCGCTCCAGAAAGGAAGGTGGGTGGACAATGCAACCAACCAAGAGCATCGTTATGACAAGTGACGGTCGAGTGCTCCATTCAGGTGCGGCATGGAGGCATGGAGATGCCATCGCATGCGGGGAAGCCTACTGTGTCGGTTCCCACCTTCATATAGTTGCAGGTAATTACTAGATACCTGCTTCGTAGCACTGCGTTCTTCAAGGATGCTCATGCCTGTAAATATCTAGAGCGAGCATACTTGGGTAGGTAGGTAGTTATTCGCATCTTGCAATGTTTTGTTGACGCTTTACCGCCGGTCGTCGCGCAACAGTCATCTGACCGACGTCAACATGCATGATGGATTTAAGGCTCGATATTAATGAGTCGAGCAACTGCCGGCTGCCGGGGAAGTTGTTTTGTATTGCCGGATAATACTCCGTACTGTGGAAGAAAAGACAGGTTTGATGACTGAGCAGAATTTCGAACCGGCCAGAAATCGTTCGGGATGCGCCACATTTACTTTAGTTAGCGAGCTTAGGAAGCCGAGCCGAATGTGGCTGAATCACGTGGAATTACAGAATTACGCCACTTCTTCCCAACTCTGTTCTCTGCACCAGCCACCCAGTCCTGGACCAGGCTTTTTGTTTCGCGCAGTTCGGCTCCACGCCTCGAATCTTTAAAAACCACCAACATCACGCCCACCTACAACTTTCACTACATGATCCACGGCGGATTTTTGCTAGGCAGCCTCGTCGTGCTCCCGCTGTATTGCTCGAGATAAAAGCGCAGGTTTTTAGCCCCTGGACAACGCAAGCGTGTTAAAAATCGCCCCAGTCGCGTGTTGATAACCCAGCCTTGCTTTGGCCACATCGGCCGCACTCGACTTCGCCCGACGCCGATTCTCCTACCACAGCCCGCACGCGCGCGAGCCCGACGCAAAACGTTATCCATTTGGATCAATTCGCATCCTCCTCCCACGACGTCCAACTCGTTTCGTATTATCACTCACCATCATGTCCGTCGAGGTTGTGCTCGGCACTCCCCTCGCGGATGCCCTTAACATGGCCATCCAGGGCAAGATCGCAGAGCTTGGATGGGCCGGCCCCGGCACCGAAGGCTCTGCCATGTCCGAGTACTTTCTCCTTATGCTCGCCAACGGGAAGACGGAATCCGAGATTGCTGCCGAGATTGCCGGTGACCTGCTCTCGCTCGGCCCCGACGACCAAACTGCCCCGGCATTCGCAAATTGGTTATTCCAGCAGATTGGTATCCTCGGTGCGCAATTAGGCCCCGGGCCAGCGCAGGCTACTGACGTCACGGATGGTGGGAATGATGACCCCATGGACGGCACTTTCGATGCTAGCATGGACGCATCAGATGCACCTGCTGCGGGCCTCAATGCGTAAGTCAGCACTTCTTTTTCCTGGGGCGCAAACCTCGTACTGACAGAAAGCAGACCTACTGGCCCTAAGGCTATGCGAAACGGAACCGGCAACATGCGCGGCGGGCGGGAGAAGCGCATCATGGGCCAGATCAACCGTGCACTAGATCGGACACAGGACTCGGTACTTCACCGTGTCCGTAATCAATCCGGCAACGAGAGAATTGGGAGGGGGCCCCCTGCTGGGCCAAGAATGGGTGCGGGAAGGCAGCCGCGGGCAAATAACACACGCGCCACCAACATCGCCGCTGGACTGGCGGGCATGGGCGGCATGCCCCCCGGTGCTCCTATGAATGGAATGGGCGGGATGGCTGGGATGAATCCGATGAACGCGGCCGGCTACGGACAGGCTGATATTTTTGCCATGATGGAGCAACAGAACCAGATGCTTCAACAGATGCAGCAACAACTGCTGATCCAGCAGCAGAATGGCGGCGGCCGCGGCGGATACGCCCGTGGCAAGCAGCAGTTCGACCGTGGCGGCAGGGGGAATCAGTTCCGGCGAGGCGGGGGGCACCACCAGCACAACGGTCACGCGGAGCAGCAACAACAGCAACAGCACGGTCCCGAAGGCCAGGCAGATTCCGCCTCGCAAGGAGACGTTGACATGACAGGAGCCAAGCGCGAGACGCCGAACCCTGACGAGACGGTGTGCCGATTCAACTTGCGGTGCCAAAACAAGGACTGCAAGTTTGCTCATCAGTCTCCGGCGGCACCCCCTGGCACCGCTATCGACCTCAAGGATGTTTGCACGTTCGGCGTGGCTTGCAAGAACCGCAAGTGCGTTGGGCGCCACCCATCGCCAGCGACCAAGATGGCGCACCAGGGCGAGCAGGACTGCAAGTTCTTCCCCAACTGCGCGAACCCGCACTGCACGTTCCGGCATCCCACCATGCCGGCCTGCCGAAACGGTGGCGAGTGCAAGGTGGCCAACTGCAAATTCACCCACGTCAAGACCCCTTGCAAGTACCGCCCATGCACCAACCGCAGCTGCCCGTTCATGCACGAGGAAGGCCAGCGAGGCACCTTCCAGGACAAGGTGTGGACGGCCGAAGACGGGCAGGAGCATGTCAGCGAGCGAAAGTTTGCCAGCGACGGCCCGGAGGACCTCGTGCTCCCCGGATCGGAGGAGCGCATGGACCATATTCCGGATGCCGAACCCGCTGAAGTGGTCATCTAGTTGTAGCGGGGGGTTACATGTTCAGGTGAAGTGCAGCGAAGCGGCGCCGCGCGGGCCGGCCGGGTCATGACGAGGACGAGGACGAGGACGAGGACGAGGACGAACTGCAAGACGGAAGAAAGGAGGGTATATGACTGGGAATCGATGGGGCACGGGGAATGAGCACTGAGGACGGATACCCATCTAGGACATGGACACGTGGCATGGGCAAGTTTGTTGCAGGCATGGGTATTTGGAGGTGTAGGTTCGGCCATGTACTAGTATATCATCACAGCGGCGTTTTTGGGGTGGTGCCTTGGGACTTTGGGCGTCTTGTTTCTACTTAGACCGGCCTATTCTCTTGTGTCTGACTAGCGGAGAAGTGGTGTAACCACCACAGCGCGAGCGACAAGAATATATATCGAAGTCGCTCGGCTTCTCATCTGGTCCACATATTACGTTCCCCCCAGAGCTGCTAAGTGATTCCAACATAGCTCTAAAACTAAACTTCGCAATATGATATATGATATCGCCAACGGATACTCTCGCTGACGTCGCCACATAGTTATTGAGGGTTAGGGTCTACACTCAACCAGGAAACCTTAGCTCAAATACAACCTACTTTTACTTCGTATGCCAAATAATTATTACCATCACCCACCCGAGCTGTTCCGAGCCATTGACTTTGCCAACTCATGTGTCAGTGCAGGCCATATACCTAGTCTTTGGAAGACGCCTTGATATGTACGCAAACAGCCTGCGCTGCCTGGCGCGTACCCGGGACCGCAACAGCGCTAGGCACATCTCGTCGCGGATCCGCCGCCGTTTCCTCAGTTCACATGGCACTTTATTAACGGCGTACCCACAGCGACGAACACCACCCCGCCAACACCACCACCCGACGTCTCCCACGATCCCGATAACCCCAACGACTCCAACCACCAAATTGGTAGTACCGTTATCACCATCTATTTCACCCGATTCCAGGCGTCAGCCCACCCGACACTATGCAGTCGGCAACCCACACAACCCCCCGAAATCCATCGCTATCCTGGGCGGTGGCCTGACCGGGCTCTCTACGGCCTGGTACCTGACACGCTTCTTGCCCGAGGCTAAGATTACCATCTACGAGGCGCAAACGCGGGTGGGGGGCTGGATCCAGACCGACAAGGTCGAGGTGAAGACCCCGGACGGCACAGTGGGCACCGTACATTTCGAGCGCGCCGCTCGCATGATCACGCCGCAGACGGGGGTTTCGCGAGTGGCCAAGTGGGATGATTTAGTCTTTTTTGACTTGGTGTGTTTCTTCCCCTCCTCTGGCATTGACCACGGGCTGAACGTTGCTGACTTACTGCCGCCTCGACCAGGTCACGGAGCTCGGCCTTACCAACCAGCTTATGCACTTGAACAAGGCAGACGAGCCCCTCCCCGCCTACATCTACTACCCGGATCGTCTTGTCGCGCTTCCTAAGCCGCCCAAGAGCATGCTACGTTACGTGTTTGGGAGCCTCAATAGCTTCATCAACGTCATCAGGATGCTGACTGAGCCCTTGTTCCGAGGACTAATTCCCGGCATGCTCAATGTTATCCGCACCAAACGCAACAACCCATACGAGAAGGACCTGTTCGAAGGGCGCAGCGATATGTCGGTAGGAGACTACTACTCTCACCTTCTTTGGGGACCGCGGTCTCGTGGACAGGTTCTTGTCAGCCTTAGTTCACGGCGTCACAGGTGGCGATGTGTGGAAGATGAGTATGAGCAGCGGCTTCCTATCAGACTACCTCGTGCCGACTGAGGGACAGCCCATCAGCCATGCAGTGGTGCGGTCCGTTGACTGGGACATGGTGCCTCAGTTACTCAAGAACAAGGCCGTCTTTGACCTAGCCTCCCGGCATCTCGGCGCGGGCGCCCTCTGGTTCCGCGACGGCTTCACCACTCTCCCGGAGGCCCTTGCCGCCGCGCTAGGAAAGAACCCCAACGTTACGATCAAGACGGGGACCCCCGTCCACCTCGTTGACTACAACAAAAGCAAGGACCAAGTTGCAGTAAGCATTCGTTGCGCACCACGCCTCTCCACGCATGCCCAATGACTGACTGAAACCCTCCCCCTCCTCCCTTCCATGGTAGATCCACACTGAGAACACCACCTCGGAACCGGCTATGTACGACAAGGTGGTCTCGACCATCTTTGCCAAAACCCTTGCCGAAATAACCCAAGACCAGCTTCCATCCCTTTCCTACTCCACCGCCGTCAACATCATGGTGGTCAACATCTGGTATCCTGTCCCGCAAGCCAACTTCCCCCATAATGGCTTCGGTTACCTCGTCCCACAACTCCTCCCCTTTGAGCAAAACCCGGAGTGCATCCTAGGCGCCATCTTCGACTCGGACCGCGAGTCGCCCCTCCCCACCGCATCCAACCCTGACCCCGCCTACCGTGGCGCCGACACTGTCCCGGGCACCAAGGTTACCGTTATGATGGGCGGGCATTACTGGGACGGCTGGCCGTCCTCAGCCATCCCGGACACGGAGCGCGCGAAGGAGAGCGCGCTCGCCGCAATCGCGCGCCACCTCAAGCTGCCGGCAGAACTGAGCCAGCAGGCGCACGCGTCGGCCAAGTTCTGCCGCGAATGCATCCCGCAACACTTGGTCGGCCACGCCGCGCGCATGCGTGGCGCCCACCTCGAGCTGGAGTGGGCCTTCAAGGGCCGCCTCGCCGTCGCCGGCCAGAGCTACCAGAACCCCGGCGCCATGACCACCTTGCGCGCCGGCCGCGACGTCGCGCGCCAGATTGCCGGCCGTGAGGATGAGGAAGCCGGCGAATGGGCCATCGGCGACACGGGCCTGCGGCGCTTCGAGCTGTCCCACCGCCAGCTCCAATACATGTCCATCCCGCGCCAGATCCTGCCGCTGCGCTACGGGAGCGGCGCGTACGTGGACGAGGACGGCAAAGCGAGGACCAAGGACGGCCTGACGATCCCCGACCTGATCCAGCAGGCGAAGAGCAAGGGGAGCTGAGCTGAGATGATTGTGGGAGACGTGGATGTGTGTATTATATATCTCCGTGAGCGTGTGTATTTATGCCGCTTTCTAAAGTGTACATATAATATATGACGCATGGATAGATGGACGAAGAGTATAGTCAGTCCTCTTAGAACCGCTGTTCAGACAAAAGGAATACAGAACGCATCAACATCTCATTCCGACGATCAACAAGAGTCAAAAACCCACGAAAACGAACGTGACTTCCCAAACATGGAAGAGCGCCCTGTCTCCCTATTTGATTGATGATTCGTTTATGCTGGTATCATTAGCTATCTAAAAGCCGTGCCAGCCCCAGTGATATGCTTTGCGACGTGGTATCTCTTCTGCATCCCATCCACCCATCCATCCCTTTTTTGTCTGCCGGCCCGGGAAACACTACCACCACCCCCTTCTGCTTCCCCCCCAAGCCGCCACAATATGAAATAGATACAAGACGCCACATGCTAGATGCCAGCCGGTGTCCGCCCTGTCCGTGCCTTAAAATAAAGAAGAGCCACGGTCCCCCCAAAAAAAATGACAAGAAGATGGCGAAGTGTCAACACTAGAAAAGAGGGCAGGCAAGACGGCCGATACGCCCGCTCATGCCATGCCATGCCTTGCCGAGCAGCCGTTGCTCCCAACACAGCTCTCAAATCGTCCCTCTCCTCGCTTGCGCGGAGAAGCCGGCGAAGGCAAACCTGTCCCTCGACCGCAAAAAACCCAAACACACGCGCGCATACGGAGTCTCGGCGTGTCAGGGTTACTCGGAATCCTAGTCGAGCACCACCACGGGCGTGTTAATATCGTTCATGGCGGCACGTTGCTGGGCCTGTTGAGCCTGGTTCTGGTTATGCATGTGCTGCTGCTGCTGCTGCTGCTGCTGCTGCTGCCGTTGTTGTTGCTGCAGACGCGCTTGTTGTTGGTACGATAATTGTTGGCCCTGCTGCAGCTGGTGGGGGAATCGGCCGGGCACCGCGGCACCCTGGAGCGGATTCGCCTGCTGCTGCTGTTGCGGCTGCTGGCGCTGCTCTTGAACCTGGGCTTGTTGGGGGTGCGGGGACGGTTGCTGTGGCTGTTGTATTTGTGTGGGAACTTGCGGGGGTGGGGGTGTGCCGGCAAGGGACTGTAGAGCTTCGTTGATGACTGCTAGGAGAGGACCGATGCCATGGTCCCATTGTGCCGTGGCGCTGTTCCCAAGTCCCTTGAACCCGTTGCCGCTGATCGACCAGACGCGTTGCTTCAGGATCTTGTTGAACTCGTCGTTTTCGTTGTTGATGTTCGGGTCCGTTTTCGCGCGGGAAATATGCCAGTTGATATGCCCGTTCCTGTCACGCGGCCGGATGTCCAGTTGCACCAGGCGGTTCTTAGCGCCGGAGAGTGCGAAGCGGATCGTTAACCAGTCCAGCGACTTGTGGAAGACGTAGCACGTCCCTAGGTCTTTCGCAAGAATCGCGTCCCACGAGTCGTGCAACTGCTCTAGTGCCTCGTATAGTGGGAGTGTGAATACAAACCACGCCGGCAACTTTTTGAGATGGACCGAGTTTGCCGCGGAGCGTAAGTAGTCAATAGCGCGCAAGTGTGGGTTGCCAGCTTCGAGAATCACGTCCACGCCTTGCTCCGCGGCGAGATTAAGGCGCACTTCCCACGATCGCTGTTTGTTGCCACCAAATTTCGGGCGGGGGTTGGAGAGCGACATTGTTGGGGATCCATTGCCATACGAGAACACTATCTCGCGGAGCGTGATTTTCTTGGGAGATATTTGTTTGCCTCTCAAGTGGAGAGCGTCGACAATGTCTACCAAGCGGTCGAGTGACTGCACACGGCTCCGGAGCAGCGGAATGATTCCGGCGCCCGATGCTGGCTGGAAGCGCAAAGTAAAGTGGCCAAGCCGACGGTCGTATAGCACATCACGATCGAGCCTATGCCGGAGGAGACGAAATTTGGTAGGGTGAAGGACGCCGACGGTTGCCTCGATCATGACCTTTTGCCGTGTCGGTTGCCTTCGAACCGATTTCGGATCGGCGAGAGACTCGCGGTACTCTGAGGGCGTAATAGGGGCTGGTCCTTTGTAGTCGAGCTGGATAAATCTACCAGCCCACGTCGGTTGTGTGGTGCCGTCGGGGTCCGGCTGAAGCGGTAACATGTCCGCCGAGAGCACGACTGTCGTTCTATGACCATCGGGACTGGCTTTTCTGGCGGTATATTGTATGTGTTGTTGATGGAGGACGCGGAAATCATGAATCTGATCCATGATGTTCGTTGCGTGCTGGGTGAGTTTCGAAAACAAAGGACTTGATGGAAGCAATAGGTCGGTAGGTGTGATAGAAAGTTCGGTGAAGATGTTGATGCGTAGGCCCGGTATTCCGTGGCCCTCGGCCGTCCTTGATGAATGTTAGCACGAAGAGAAATACCTATGGCACGAACCATGGGCAACGCTCTTACACTTCAACTAACCACCAGCGATCGCCACCGAGGCTCAAACTCATCATGGCGAACCACTGCGGAGTCCAACGAGAGTTTCTCAAGAATATGGCGTGGAATGGTTCTCGGGTGGTCGAAGCACGCGAGTACACAACGCGCTTCACCTCGTCGAGCGGGACCGGGGCCTTCGGGAGGACCTTCCAGTCGGCAGGCTTCGGCAGTGTCCTCAGGTGAAGCGTCATATGATACCATCTGAGCTGCTCCAGGACAACTGGGGCCTCCGTCACAGGATTTCGTAATGTGTTGATTTTGTTCGCCCAGCCAACTCCAAAGGGAGGCCGGTCGGCGAAGAAGAAATTGCCCGACCACGGACCGATACCGAGAACGGCGTGGTCGGCGCCGAGAGTCTGCATCGTCAGAGCACAATCTAGATGCGGGGGGTCCGAGATTCGTAATGACAACCTGCCCCGTTTCTGCGCATATCGAGGTTTGCTGCTGAGGGAGTTGTAAATTGACGAGAGGAGGTACTTGATGTGTCTAGAAATGACGGTCATCAACAGTTTCTCGGTAGAGATGGTGTCGGTGTCCAGCGGAATGTCAGCATCCTTGACTTCCTTCCCATCCCGGAACCACTGGAGCATGAGTCTGCTTGGGGAGCTCGGGTCGTCGGCTCCATCCGAGGACTTGCCGCTATGCACCCCGAGGAGAATCCAGCTCTGAGAATCTTGGGTATGTAAACTCTGGGACCAGTACTGGATCCCCAGAGCCCTGTTCAACCTCTCAACTCTTAGCGTCTGAGTCCACAACCCGGTGCGGCTGAGCTCAACAGCCTGTCGGGCAAATTCCCCAATCTTCGTAGTCAGGGTCAATTCGTGGAGATACTTGTAGCACCCTAGCAACCCTTCGGTTTCGAGAATCGTGTTGACACGGGCCTCGATGAACCCCCGGGCACCGTCCGAGAGTTTGGACGGTGACGGGCTGAAGATGGTTCGGTAATCCAAAAACCAGAACTGCTTGTCAAAGTCTTCGTCGGATATCGTGAGATCTACCTCGAATTCGCCAGGCACCGTAAAGGTAACCCGTCCGTTGTCGATTTTGTATTCCTTCCATGGCTCCGGGATCTGTTCGTACTCGTGCAGCTGTAATCTCATGTGAAGAACCACCTCGATTTCATTAAGCCAATGCAAGGTTTCTTGCGTCGTCAGGGGTGGCTTGGGTAGGTAGCCAAACTAGTAACAGAGTCAGTACAGAAACCGCGATATCTTGGAGCAGCTGTAACCTACGTCTGGCATCCAATGAACGGCTCCTGTGCTAAGTACCTCCAGGGCCGTCTTCAAATCCGGACTAGGAACCTTGGCGAAGGCCATCTCATGCTTGAGGTTGACCATATTCCAAAAGGCCCTGTTGTACAACTCCAGCTTCGCCGCAAGATGTGTCCTCAGGTCGATGAGCTTGCCGACTTCGTCGGCGTTCCTGGCCCATTCCGTGATAACTAACGCCTTGACCCATCTTGAGTGCAGGTCCTGAATGAACTTGAGAATCATAGTTTTCTTGTTCAAGCTCTCGGGCGATGTGTCTTCGAGCGCTGGACTGGGGAGCTTGGGGACGCCATTGACGCCAGCGTTAACATTACCATTTATGCTGCTGTTCATCGATCCCTTGGCATTGCCGTTCAGCGTGTTCTCTGGGAGTGGTTTCGACGCCAAGTCAAGGATGAGCTCCTGGAGTTTCAGATGGGAGAATTGTGCGAGCCTGCTTAATAGCAGGCTTAGTGGCATGACATCGTCGGTAATGTGTTGGAGTTCATCCACGGAGTCCTCCATCCCGGCACCCTGTAACCTGCTCTCCAGCTTGTTGTAATCTCCGACTGTGATCGGTCCATTGTCACCCCCTTTAACGCCAGCTGGAGGCTCTGTGCTGAGTGACACGCGTTCCTCCCTGACGCCGTTGACAATGGAAGCTCTGCTCTTGTCTGGATGGGTAGTATTGCTGTTGTTGTGTACGCTGTTGTCCATTCTGGGATCGCCTTCCGCGCGAGAAAACATCCGTACAGTGCCGCTGGTCGCTGTGCGGGCTGTTTTCCTCGGTGCAATTAAAAAGCGATTCCTAGTACGCCGAGACCGACAAATATGCCTCCCGATTTCCTTGCCAGTCGTCGCGGGCGCGATTCAGGTGTTGGCGGTAGGCGAAGCAAAGAAGGGTGGGTGAGATTGGAGTCGGATTGAGCGGGTTTCGAATTCCATGCGGTCGGTGGGCGGATCGGTCGCCGTCGACTTGATATATGGAAACTCCACAGCCAGGGCGAGGAAGATGAGAGTTGGTTGAGGATGCAGCAAAGATCGTGAGCCCGAAAAAGAAGACCCGAACTCCCCAACCTCGTGCCGAGCAGTAGCAGCTAGTGCGCCTGCACTTGCCTGCAGTTGCCTTGTGACGAGCTCAGCAGACAGGACAAAGATCGATGATGCAAAGGCCCATCACTCCCAGGTCCGACTCTGCGCCGCGCCAAATGTTTGATTGTTTGGGTGTTTCCCGGATTCTGCTTCGAAGTTGACCGGCCGTCGCAAACCCGTACCCGCCTTCCGATTTCCAACTGCCGCCTCTCCTTCTGTTAGAGGTCGTTTGACTGTCGCAGGCGAAATATTTGGTATCGCAGTGCTAGAAGGTGCCTTCCTGCGCAACGCGCTCGGTGGGATTTATCGATGGGGTGGCGGCTGAAATCGTCGCGACGTGGTGGTGGTGGATGGTTTTGATCGCCGTCTACGAAAGTACCCAGCGCTCTCAAAGAACGGGATGCACGCTCCTTGTTTGACTGACCAGGGAGCAGGGATTTGGTTTTAATGCCTGAACATCATTGGGCTACAATCTTAGGTCATTTTGAATGCCAAGCTGGTGCCAAGGCCCGATGCCAAGCGCATGTGGCGGGCATTTGTTCCCCCACGTTCTCGGCCATTGTGTTCCGAAGCCCCAGCCGGCAACCAACAAAGAACCCAGCATCTACCGTGTATCATTTTTGTTTGTTAAGGTATCTCATCAGAGGTAGAAAGATCCCGAGCCTTCTGACCGGTCACTTTACGACAATCACTCTTCAAGTTTGGTATAGATAGTCTAGGCTACTACTACCCATACGCATACAAACAAAGCGGTTTGCGAAACGCCAATCCAAAAGTTTACGTCGAGCAAATGGCGATGATACTTTCCTTCCTACGTCATTTCAAAGGTGAAAGCTTCGCTCGAACTTCGGGACCGGAATCTCTTCTGGTGCTCCGGCAATTCAGTCTCGTGGGAAGGGTTCAATTGATCCGTTGCCGAAACGTTATGTTGAGTGCTAAAAGTGATATTGAATCTTGTCATAGAATGTCTTCTTGCATGCTAAACTCGCAGCACGAGTCTAAGGTAGCAGACTCAGCATCTACTGTGCCCAGTATCTTCGAAACGTAGCACCGAAGTAATGTGCGGCAACAGGGTATTGAACACCAGAGAGCTACGTCGTCCTTGTTTTCCTACATGGATTGTGGGCTGGATAACTACCAACCAGTGATGCCAACGAAGAAAATAAAAGCCCCTGCAACCGCAACTGGCGGCTCAGAAAACCCCCCTGCCATCGGCCCCTTTCCCGCATTGCATAGCGCCCTCCTCGCGTCGTAGGTCTCATCATACGTGACGTCCCCAGACCAAAAAAAGAATTCTTGTGTTCACCGGCCCAACATGTGCTTGGATTCGGTGTGACCGAACTCGTAGCGTAGTGCGCTCAGCTGCGTTGGAAAGCCATCGCTTAACTAGTGTTCAACTCGAGATTTGGAGATGAATCCAAAACCATCAACAAGCTACTCACAACTTGTTGTTGCTCGGCAGTGCCGAGGTCGTCGGCCACTGATATCCGGCGGCATCACTGAACTTGTAGCCGTAGGATGACGTGAAGTCGTCGAGCACCGCGGGTCCCCGAGAGCCTAGAAAAGGTTAGTTTTCGCCAAGAAACCACCGGCCCTTGATCTAACTTACCGTATGGGTACTCCATGGGGATAATCTCTTTGTTGTCGTCCAGGTAGTGCAGCAGAGGCGTAAAGATCCTCCAGCTGGCGTCGAGCTCGTCGTCTCTCACAAAGTTGGAGTGGTCGCCCTTCAGACAGTCCAGGATCAACGATTCATACGCCTCGGGGATCTTGAGGTCAGAGAACCGCCTCCGGTACGTGAGGTCAAGCTCCGTGACCACCGTTTGCATCGTCAGGCCGGGGAGCTTCGAGTTCATCTTGATGTAAACACTCTCGTTTGGCTGAATGCGCATGACCAGTTCGTTCCGCGGAATGTCCTTAAAGATCCCGGAAGTGACGTCCTTGAACTGGACGCGGATCTCCGTCTTTTGCTCGTTAAGCGCCTTGCCCGCCTTCATGATAAAAGGGACGCCGTCCCATCGCTCGTTCTTGATGTAGGCCACAAGCGCGCAAAACGTTGGGCACCGCGAGTCCTTGGGCACAGTATCGTCCTCTTTGTACGACGGCTTGCTGCCGTCCAGCGACTTCCCGTACTGGCCAATGATGACGTTCTTGGGTTCGATGGCGGGGATCGCACGGAGCACCCGCACCTTCTCGTCACGGATATCCTCCGAGGAGAAAGAGATAGGCCGCTCCATGGCAAGTAGGGTCAAGACCTGGAGAAGGTGGTTCTGCATGACGTCGCGAATGATGCCAAACTCGTCAAAGTATCCACCACGCCCTTCGGTGCCGAAAGGCTCCTTGAATGTGATCTGTACGTTGTCGATGTGATGCCTGTTCCAGGTCGCGCCCAAAAACGAGTTGCCGAATCGTAGGATGAGAATGTTCTTCACCATCTCCTTGCCGAGATAATGGTCGATACGGAAAAGTTCGTCCTCCTTCCAGTCGGGCTCGAGTGACTTCTGGAGCTCGCGGGAGCTCGCCAAGTCCTTGCCGAACGGCTTCTCGACCTATCGTAGTGTCAGTGACATCACCAACGCAGCCTTTCAACATGTTGTCCGACATACAATAACGCGTGCCACGCCCTTGGTCGGGTAGCAGCACTTCTTTAGGTGCTGCGAGACAATGGTGAAGACGCTAGGGGGCAGGGCCATGTAAAACAGTCTGTTAGTCTCCTTCCTCCCCTGCTCGAGCTCTTCGAGGTGTTTGTTGAGCTGTAGGAACGACTCGTCCCGGTCGTACTGGCCAGAAACGTAGGTACACAGGTTGCAAAACTCCTCCAGTTGTTGTTCGATGTCCTTCGTGGGCGTCTTGATGTACGATTTGACACGACGAAGGTACTCGTCGTGGTCCATCTTTGTCCGCGCATAGCCAACGATCTTGATGTCCTTGGGTAGGAACTGATTTCGGTACTGCCATGGCGTTCAGTCACTTGGTTCTCCCGGGTTCCCGATGGGGGCGTTGCAAACTTACGAGTCCGAAGAGGGCGGGGAACTGCGACGGGTTAGCCAATTGGTACACACACTAGGTTCTGGGAAATGTTCGTGGTTGAACCTACTGTCTTTTTCTTGGCAAGGTCGCCGGAGGCGCCGAGGACAACAATGACTGTGTTCTCCTTCAGCTCGATGGAACTGCAAAGTTGTCAGCGTCCGCCGCGTAGGTCTTGAATCCACGGCCGGCAACAGCGCATCCGCCTGCGGGCGTTCTGCTGCCAGCGAAGGCAAAGTTGCGCCTGGACACAGCCGCGCTGAATTATCCAAGTTGCGCAACCCAGCCCCACCGAAATTGTGTCATGAATGGCGGGGCTCGATCACTCACCCTCCAGCGGGATGTAGGTCTGAGGCCATCTTGTCGAGGGGTTTTTGTCCAGGTACAAAGTCGAGTCGGCAAGGGTATGGTGTTGAGGTGGTCTCTAGGCGGCTTCTAGAAGCTGGGGGATAATGCTGTGTCGGCCGGGCAAGTCGGATGGAAAGTGATCGGAGTCCGATCAACCCAAGAGGTTCGGGGTTAATGGTATTTCAACAGGGCAGGGGCGATGAGTGATGCGCAGAAGACCGGAGCTCGAGGGGCATTTGTGACGAGGGGCAGCTTACTCAGGGACCCCGCCTTTACGTACTGGCATGCCCTGGCACCGAGGAGAGCTTGGACCGGGGATGTTAACTCCTTCAAACTCTTTTTGTGTCCTCCGACTTCTCCGGCTGCCGCAGGCCCTTCGCCGGATTTGTAAATACCTAAGGACCCCGAGATGCGCCACATGTGAGATGTAAACAGAAACGGTGGTCAGTTTGCCTCAGAGAGCAGCCTTAGCTTTGCGACCGTGTTAAGACATCTACCACCACCCTACGTAAGAAATATCATTACTCCCACCTGTGGAACTCCCCGGCACCGTGATTGTTATTAGGCAGTTATTCGGGACCTACAAGTCCATACCTTACATACTTTCAGCATGTGCTACGATACAGAGACGAGTAATTACAATCCTATGCCTTGGCTCTGTTTGCCCAATTTGCAAAATAGGCAGGGCCATGCTGTCTGCTAAAACAGAGTCTTCTGATAAAAGTGACCTGCCAGGAAGGAGCGAGACAAAAATTGAGAAAGGTTGGAAACGGCTTAGCAAAGCCATGCGTTATTCTTGCACCAAAGCCCCCATATTCCGCGCTGCACATGAATCGAACCACATTGGCAAGAGAAGAGGAGCAGCAATTTGGCTGATCTCGTCGCACGGTTTTGTCGCATCTGGGAGCTGTCGAAGGTGACACGGAGCTGTCGGTTCAACCAGCGCGGGGCGCTGCATCTCGTTGGGGATGGTGGGATGGAATGGTGGGATGTGGGTGGTGGGGTAGGTAGGATAAGGTCCGGGCGATAGCGGCGGCTCCCTGCTTACACTGCAGAAACTGCTGACCTCCCGCACCTCCTTGCATTCCCACGGAGAAATACCGCAGGGATAAAAGCAGAACGAGTGGGCTTGCCTGAACACTAAACCTCCTTACAGGCAAAAATGGCAGGTTGCGGAGATCAAGGTTTCGGGCTCGGCCAGCCGAAGATCGCCCGCCGGCAGAATTCCCGTCTCTTGGCACCCCCCACGCGCGCCGCGTTTACACAGTATTGGGAAACCGAGCCTCGAAGTCGTCCAATCTCCCGAACCCCCGAAGCTCTTGGGATTCCTCGGGGCGAGAAAAGAAAATACATCCAGTATCATTGATTGGGGGTGTTAAGCATTGAGGTAGCGGGAATGTCCATCTCCGCGGAACAATTCCAGGAGAATAGAAACGAGAGAACGAGGGATGATGTTGAGAACCAAAATTCAATTCCTGGTTATCAACATGGACCTGGCCGCCAGCTATCAATATGAGCCTGTCGTTCGATCCCTGCCAAGGCGGACAATTTTCGTCGTCTCATCTGGCCTGTACCTGTTGTGTATTGGTACTCCGCAGAGATGGAAACAGAGGAGACTCCGACATCCGGGCCGGCTTCGCACTTCCGAATCCGCAGGGGATGAAGTTGAAACCCACTCTCTTGCCTTGTCCCTGCATGACTTTCTTATCCGCGCCATTAGTAATTCTAGCGTACCCACGAATACCTTATGCACAGTCTGCGGCAGGACCGAGCAATGCTGATGCAAGTCCCATAAAGTCTACTCTGTCACGCAGACCGACGACGGTTTTTGCATTTATAGAGATTATCTGGGCTGGAAACCAACACAGAAGAGACCAACTGGTAAGTGGTATGGATGTACCAAACCCGACAGCGCTCGCCAAATTCTGTATCGGCGCATTGGTGGGGGCAGTGGGGTTGTGCAGAATACGTGAGGATGAAAGGTTTCCCACGTGGGCTTATTGCAAAGCGTTTGCCTGTCAAAGTTCCGTGTCTGCTCAGAAGCGTCCCAATCTGGTAGCTATAAAGTCAGGAGACCACACCCTTAACGAGGTAACAACAAATACGAGGAGCTTTCCTGATTACCAGGGGGCAGCAGTGCAAGTTGCTGGGTCAGTAGACCTCACGCGAGAGGCGTCTTGGGCCAAAAGAAAAGCCCAACTCCATCCAACGGTCCTAGAGGGGGGGAGGGGGGAAACAAGGAGAGGGGAGGAAGAAGAAAAGAAGAAAAAAAGAAAAAAAGAAAAAAAAAAAAAAGAGAGAGAAAGAGAAAGAGAGAAACTTTAGGCCTAAATTTACGACGGCGTCAACTCCTATCTGGAGCCTCGCGAACCAAACGATCTGGTATATACTATGCGTACACCGACTACAACATCGAAGCCTAGGCACCTAGGCGTACAGGACGATGCAGCCTTTGACCAGTGAAACCTTGGTGGCAGCATACCACGGCTCCCGGACTTTTTTACTCAGTAGAAACCCGCTCACTTGCCACCAGCAACAGCGATGCGCCGGCATCAAGGACGCTCATCAACCTCGTCCAGGGCGGCTGCACATTGAACTCCACCTCCATCTCACCCGGCAGTCTGTAGGCACGGCCAACGACGGTGAGCACTGGCCTCCATCCTTTCGCGAAGATAGATCTCCCCTGCTTCTCTCACCGCTTGAGCTAGGAGGTAGCTCTCACGACGTTAGTCTACCGCAAATGGCTGCCGTCTGATCTCTAAACCCAGAAGCCCGGCTATCACTGACATCGCAGACCAGAAGGCATCAATTGTCTGGACGCTAGGTGGTATGGTACGGTGATCTCTTTTCCAGACGGGCTAGGGTCCCACGTCCGAGTAGTAAACTTCCAAGTTATGCCCCCAGTGTTAGTTTTGAATTAGGGTCTGATGCGAGGGCATCAACTAATATCATACTTTCCGTGGCTCACTCTGTGGTGTAGGTAATCCTAGTAGATCACGACTGGTGATGAACGGTTGAAGGAATGCAAGAAAAAGATCAGCCGTTGCACTTAGCATTTGTGCGTACCTCTACCCTCAAAACTCAGGCGTACCAGCGTCATAAAAATCATTCCAAAACATAATTTCCTGAAGCCTCGCCTCACTCAAGTTGGCATTAGCAAAATGTTCTCTTTGCGGTGTTCTGATCCTACGGTGGACTTCGCCAGCCGCCTTCCAGCCAAAGAAGCCCGCCATCCCCCAATCAATAAGCCCAACAATCCTATCATTGGCAACTATGCAGTTAGACTTGGTAAAGTCGTTGTGCATGAAACTCATGTCCGGGTCGTTGTCGGTGTTTGAGAAGAGGATATTTCCTTCCAGGGGAAGGATACGGCCATTGCTGAGGATTTTCGGATCTTGGACGATGTGGGAGCGAGCCCGGCGCCCATCGGTGGGCTTTACTGCGTGTAATTGTCGAAGTATCTTTCGTGCCTGCTGCTTGAATGCTTCCTTTTGTTCTTGCGATAGGTACGGCCATGCGACGGTCAAACTAACGCCGGGGAGTCTTTCCTGGACGAGCACCTGGCGACCATTGATCTACAGAAGTGTAAGTGATAAACGATGGAGTCGTAACGAAGAAGCAAGAGAGAGCAAGCACCTTGCCAGAAAAGAAGATCTCTGGCACTCTAACGTCTTTTAGGGTGCTCTTGGCAATATCAATAGCCCGCAATTCATTGGAGTCAGCGTACGAGTAGTCGATTTCTGTATGCTGGCCGTTCCCCGGATTGTGAAGATGGCTCGACTTGACGATGACGCTCCCAAGGGCGAACACATCGCGGCCGCCCTCGTCGGCCGGGTAGATCCTGACGGAGTCATTGCAGAGGTCAATAACTGATGCCCAGTATTTCAGAGAGGCTGTGGACTGGGAGTTGACGTGCTGGAGGTCGACACGAAAGTCGCCCTGTCTGGGGAAGTATTGGCCGTAGAACGGCACATCTGCATACTAGTCGGTGGCGGGGATGTTATCTAGGTTCGACACGTATGGGTTCATTATAAAACATAAAATTGAAGTAGTAAAGATTGGACGAGATGAGGGCAGTTGGTCGATGCAAACTACTCGGTCGGGAGGTTCACGTTTCACATCTATTTGTTGAGGCGTGGCCCGAGTCCCGACCGAAGTACTTCGTTGGGGCCAATGGCACGTCAGTACCTTAAAGAAGGTGCAGGCCTCACAGGCGCGACAAGCAAATGTGGGTTCTCGAGCCAACATCGTTTTGCCCCGGGGTTTTAGATATGCGTAATGTCACCCGCAACAGCGTCCAAAAGCGTTTCTTGCAAGGACTTGGACAGGTCGCTGCACACGGGAGCGGCGGGTCCGCGCCTTGGAACCCCCCGTCGTTCATGACGAGAAACGAGATGAAACTCCTTGTCCTTGCACAGGCTGGCTGACGAAAAGAAAGGCCTGCTGCGAGCATCATGGTCGTCTGTTTAGACTCGAAAATCCGCTGCTTTAGGAAAGTTATCGCAACTACCAAGCGAGAAAGGGTGCTATCCATTCCTGCCTCGATGAGGGAGGTGTTTTTCACACAGAGACGAGAGACCGGACACAGAAAGCAACCTGGAAGTTGTTAAAAACCATGGCAGCTCTCACTAACGCCGCTACCGGGTTCTTAGGTTGTCTTTTTCTTTTTTCCTCACATTTTTCTTTTTAGCTAACTTTTCTTTTTTCAAAAAAGGGCACCAAATGTTTCACGCTCGGCCTCTCTCCTGACCGCTAGGTTTTCAGCCTGAATTTTCTCAACGCTACCAACAACGAGGAAGAAGCCGGCATACACCTTGGGACCACGGGTGCCGTCCGAGCGGGAACAGTCACACTTTCCGAATCTTCCGGTGTTGAGATAGCCCAGGCAAGGAGTTCGGCTTCGCACCTACCCTCAAAGGGCAATGAGTTGGAAGGATGACAACCATAGACGCACTTTGGGGAACTGCCTAGAGGTCCTGCTATGCGTTGGTTTCTGCATGCTTCTATTGACCCGATTTAGAATTCCTTCTGTTCCGTTGGATGCTGGCGTTTGAACGAGAGTGTTAATGTTCCGGCTGTTGAGAGTCCCATATGGCCTTAACTGCGCCTGGAGGATATAACAACGTATTTCGCCGCATGTGAGCGGTGGAGGCGGTCGTCACGTTCCCAAAAGCCTCCCATTGTATATCCATGGGCGATCGGCCACTTCCCAGTCGCTGATAGGAAGTGATGCGAATGAACCAAAATGCCGTAGGCTGCTTCTCTACACAGCCCTCTTTTACATCCTCCAGCCTCTGTTTCACCGTAATCGTGAAATCCGTGAGACACTGGCGGCACGACTCGAGAATGTCATGACATGGCGTAAAGACGCCCGCGGATGTGGGGGTGGGGCGGAGCAGGGCGTAAATGTAACAGAAGTTCGACCACGTGGGAGAAGGACGGAGGCGGGGGTTGGGAGAGCAGAAAGCCGGGCTCGATGTCTTGATGTGACCGCAGATTTGGCGACGTTCGTGGGTCGAATGCAACTCTTAGCGAGCCATCAGTCCAGCCGGCGCCATTTAGGGTCCGGGTAGCTGAGAGAAAAAGCTCGTCTTGTACAATTCGGGTGGACCATCTTTCTTACCAAGGCAGCAGCCATTTGCCCTGCCAAGGGTTTAAAGCAGTCGAGCAAGCTTCAACGTTAAAAATTTCTAAAGGCAAACCTTTCAAGGGACCAAAGAAATGACGGTTCATAACAAGGCGAACACTCTGGTAGTCGACACTGAAGCTACTTCCTTCGAGCCAATGTCTATTGTGGTAAGGGCGGTTAAAGTCCCAGCCGGCCACCCAAGATAAGCCGTCGCGAGTGCCACCAGTCGGCCCTTGAGTAGAAATGGGAAGTAGAAGGGAGCAACAGTGGCAGTACCACCAAGCGTGTCCTAGGTCTTTCTCAAGTAGTAGCTGTAAGTCTTGGCGCTCCAATGCATTCATGTCGAGTGTGACGAACCTACCTCAGGACCCTGTCCTGTTAGGGTTCAGCTTCGGTTGAAGGTAATCTCTCAAGGGTGCTTAGGTTCGGTGCAGCCAAAAGGTGCACAACAAAGGCTTGTCTCAACAGTAGGCTTCCGAGCTTGTAGCGAACTGTAGTTGTGATTGCTAACTGGAGAACTCCCAGAGCTCTCCAGAACGAATGACTATATACCTATCTAATTCCGGGGTGATCAGTGTGCTCAGTCCTCCAGGACACTGATCTCACTGATCACCTCGGCCAGCCGTGACTTCTGATTGGTGGCCCTTCCTTGTGTGCTCAGCGTGCTCAGCTTGCTTGGCAACTGAGCTCACTGATCACCTTTTATGTTCCCGATTGGTCCGACCAAGGCGACTGGCTTGGGGCGTCCCGTGCCCCGAGTCTCCACTTGTTGGCATATCCGTGACATCGAGGCGTAATATTGCGCTCGGAAAGACGAGGTTAAAGAGAGCCTTGCACGTCAACAACAACGCGACGGCCGAAGCTGGCGGAAAGTGTGCCTGAGAGAGGTAAAGAACGATCTCGGCAGGTAACTGTAAGAAGGCTGGCGGCGGCTGCGGTGGTGGCGGCGACGAAGATGGCGGTTCTACCACCGAAGTGCAGCGAACATCCGGCTTCCGCTGTCTGCGCAGGCACGACAACAAGTTATGGAAACTGATTCGGCCCATTCCGTTCGCTCGTCGCTTTATACCGGGAGAGTATGGGGCATTAGAAGGCTAGACGACGGGAAGAGACTCGAATTCTGAAAACGATCTCTATGTGGCGGAAGTTAGTAAAATGGAAATTAGTAGCTAACATAAGGCCTAGGTGACATCATGGTGGGTCATTGATATGGAGAAACCCACAAACAGGTGGATTGCATCTGCTGCGGCTTTTATATCAGCCACAGATGGCTGAGGATGCGTTGACCCATGGGAAGCCAAGTGCCAAGCCCGGGCGTTCGGTTGTCCATTTGGTCGGCATGGGCCACCCGGGAATCGGTGTCACAGATAATCCGCCCCGCAAAAGCACTGCAAGCCCTACCAGCCGCACGCGAATTTTTGAAATCGCTTTGAGTATATCGAAGTGTAGAGCCACAACCACGCCGCCCAACGCCGGACCTCGAATCAGCACGACATATTGCTGATATCTCTTGACCGTGGCCGGAAGAGATTGATCGATCGGGAAACTGCAAATCGACAAGATGCCTACCGAAGCTGGTCATAGATGTGAGCGGACCCGGATTCGCAACAGCAACTTTGCTGGCGCCGACCAAGATACCGCGGTCGCGATAACCAGCATTGTCACTGCATGCGCCTTGGATTGTTGAGCATGGCTAACTGTGTCTTCTAGTATACGTCAAGTGAGTGCAAACCCCGACGACAAACCCGAACACCCCGAGCTGCGATTCCGAAGTCGATGGACCCACGCGACTTGCGATAGTCCACCCCAAGGCCGAACGTCGATGGACTCGAGAGACTGACCGCAATTGTTCCATAGGGGTCGCCACCTGAGTTATCAGCGTAGCCGCCACACGAAACCCACGCCAAGACCAGCTTGATCAAGATCGAGGGCGTCGACGACACTGCCGCTGCCAAGTATGTTTCGCGAACCGGACACCACGTGTCGATGGGCGAGGATTAACGCGGAATACAGCTTCTATGCCGGCAAGCGGGTCGCGTATGTCTACCGGGGCCAGAAGGAGGTGCGTGGCACCAAGATCCGCGTCATCTGGGGCAAGGTGACGAGGCCACACGGTAGGATCTAACGGCCATGATGCAGCGTTCTGGATGGACTTGGCTGACTGTTGTGCTGTAGGAAACTCGGGTGTTGTCCGGGCGAAGTTCACCACCCCTCTTCCTTCGAAATCTTTTGGCGCCTCGGTTCGCATCATGCTCTACCCCTCCTCGATTTAAGGGAATGGATCAGGCCGGAGTTAGTTGGTAAAGGTGGTTCATGATTTCGGTGCATCAGGGATAGGCAAGGCCTCAACAGACATGGGCCATGCTTCTAGCATTCAAAATCAAGGCAATACCAAAATGACGATGCCGTTGAAGATCCGCAGCATGGGGTACGGGACAGTGCTTCACTGGTGAGGGACACAAGGCAGCTCAGAGGGAGACCCTCCGTCTTCTCTCTTGTCACAATAACAACAATAATGGCCAGACCTGGGCTATAAATTCTACAGGTGTACAAGGTCGTCAAGGCGACCCTGGCTACAAGAATGGTGACTGGAGACTCGGAAAGAAGCTGGTTTCGAATGTGTTGTGCAAATCGGGACTCCAACAGGAACCATTGGCCAATGTTATCAAACCAACAAAATCCAATTCTTTTCGTGATAGCTATACCTAATGGAACTCAATCGCTGACGCTGAAGTGGCTAAGCAGTAGGCTGGCTGCAGCCTCCCATTCCTCAAGCGTCCGACGAGGTTTTCGGCGAAAGTTGGGCACTACGAGAACATCTGTCGTGCGCCGAGACGAGGCATCCCACCGCAAGTTGTGCAACAGATCAACAGCTGGTTAGAGGGCCAAGATTTGCTGGTGCTCTGGTTTGTGGTGGCCTTACTTGCCGCCACGCAATCACGATACCGGCGATGCTCATGGACTTACGCAGGTACCCGCTAAATGCGAAAATGCGGCCAACGGCTCGGGAACGGACTCGAGGAACCCCCAATGTAAGACACCGATAGGCCATCGGAGCCATGAACAGCGGAATCACAGGAGCAGCCCAACGGTTCTCTCAAGCCATCTTACATGCCCGGCCTCGGCTGGTCGAAGTCTCACTGATGCCGCCCCCCCAAAAAAATGTCTCTGCCCGAAACGAGCGAGCCGCCACCGCACAATAGTTACCCAGGGATATGATTTTGGCCCAGCATGGTCCCTCGGCAGGGGACCAGGGAACGACGAAGCCGTTATTGAGCAGATGGAGAGGGACTAGAGGCTACCACACATGTCGTGATATCCAATACACCGCCACAACCAAACGGTATGACGGTTAATCCTTGCTATGCACGTAGCCTTACGGCAAGTACCCTACACGCCCCATTAAAGCCGACGAACCGGCACAAAATACACCGGTACTCTAGGTGTTACCCACAGGTGGAAGCGTGGCAAGCGGGGTGGTGCCTTGCCCGCTGGGGCTTGGTTGAAAGCGGCTCCGACAGCTGGAGTGGAGATAGGCTCTGCATATGCTAGGGTAGGCGGGTTTGAATTGATAGTTGAGCCAGAAGATTAACACCCAAGTGACAGGCTGGTTTTCTCTCGGGTGATCTACCAGCAGGACCACATATATAGCGAGTCAACGAAGGTATTGATGCCACTCATGGATGCAAAAGATTTCATTTACATGAGGTTGCGACACCGTTTTTATCAGGCGGGAAAATATATGCAGACCAGAGGTTATGAGTACCTTACGATCCAGAGAAATAATACCTGGACCGGGAAGTGGTATGTACAAAGGGCAATGGGCGGCTCAAATTCACACATCGTTGACGCGGTCTGAAGGGCGTTTGTCGAGAAACGAAGTTTGCCTAATACACACACACACATACATATATACATTCCTCAAGCAAGTACACGACACAATCGTATTTTACGGCCTTTCGGTTGCGGTGCAGGCATGCCCCAACTTTATGGTGACATGCATTGTGGCTTCGCGCCTTGCTCCTGGGGAGCTTCGAAAATGTCACCTCAGTCATGAAACGTTTGACGTAGGATCACCCATTAATTGGCCATCGAGCGCTCTCAAGTGAGAACTCTTTCCAACTTGTGTCGTCCAATACATGTCCCTCGTCAAAACCGTTGTTCCGTCCCGAGTTCCTCAGCAATATGGATGAGTGTGACACTCATCCGCGCAAGCTGCGGCGCAGCGGCAACCCGCTCCATGGGCTGCAACTAACTCAACCAAGGTGCTTCCCTGCTCGCAGACCTGCTCTGCTGTTGCGTGCGTCAAATGCCAGCGGATCGACCAGTAGATCGCGGCCCCGGTCGCCACCTCATTGTTCTGTCGCCAGCCCGCGTGGTGGAGAGCTGAGGGGAGCCAGTGAGGCGGCGAAACGTCCCCACGATTTGCGGGTGGATCAACTGCGTAGCACCAGTGTCAGGACCATCACCAGCTTGTTGTTGAGCTGGTGTTGGAAGGGCCCTTGTTGGCCAGGAGCCGACGACGCTGAAGAAAGGAGGGAGCTGCAAGCGGCAAATCAAAACAGGCCTGAGATTGTCCCCCGCCTTGCGGTTTCGTGCTGTGCTCTCCCACCTTTCCGCGCCGCCTCGCGCGCTGCCAGCTGCATCCGGAAGCCGAATCATTCTTAAGAATAAGACTGCCCACCACACACTTTTATCCATTTTCTCCCACTTGAAACCCCTTTGGTACTGGCGCACTCTGCTGTGGGCCCCATCCCATTATCGTTGCATTCGAAACCCTCGTTTGTGGCTCCACGAAACAGTGGACGCCCGCTTTCCTAGGTCGTTAGCGGCATCGTTACCGCCCATTATTGTTTTCGGCCTCTTCGTCTCAGGTTGCATTCATAAAATCCTCTTTGCGCAGCAGACACCGAAGTCGCCTTTTCATACCACCTCAGAGCAGGGGCTTGGCTCAAACCACTGCGCTGACCCTTCAGTTGGGACAACTTGTGGCCGCGGAGTCGATTTAGCGCCGATTTTCTGCGCTGCACATGCAACGCCGTCCTTCCCGCAAAGGAGACCAAACCTCGTATTCAACACACACCAAATTTATCGCGCCATTGGCATTCACGAGAACACCCAAACTGAACACAGCCGTGGAATCTTCTCAAGAACGAAATCCTGCTTGTTTTCACGTTTGCGAACCTGCAATAAACGCTTCTCAACGGTTCTCGAGCAAGTGGTTATTTTCGATTTGAAGTTTCCAGGTTTGTAGTGGGGGCGACGTTGCTGACGTCAGTGCCGTCTGAAGCCACTCCACCCACCGCCGCCAGTCCTAGCGCTGTCTCCACAAGGCGCTGCTCTGGGGTTGCAGTGGAGCAATTCCGGGCTGGGTTGCTCTCTCTCTCACCCCTGCAGCAAACTGGATCGAGCGCCTAGCAAGCCGATCTGACGCCAGGAAAGAAAGCCCTGGCTTGGTCCCAGCAATTGGGAAGTCCCCCCAAGGACAAAAAGCGCAAGCGCCAAGAACCTGCCACCTCCACGCTCCTGCCGCCACCTCTGTGATTTCAACCACGGTTGTTTTGCGGAAAACTTTGGAGTCACCACCTGCTTGCTCCGTCTTCCTACATTCTATCAGGGACCGCGTCCGAAACCTCAAAAGGCATCCACTGCCTTGATTCCCCCAAAGACCTGTAACAAGCACTCTGTGGATCCTGTGGTCCTGAAAAAGCACCAGAGGCGCCCACGGCAATCTCTCGACGTCCAGGATCCCCCCCGACAATCCACTTTTATTCTCCAGTCCTTGTTGTTCAAGCAACAGTTACTTGTTGGCTCTCTGACAAGCTTTTCTGCCGTCACAGTAACCACGGTAAGGATAAGCCGAGTTTGGCTCCATCGTGCATCCGTTTCTGCGCTCAACCCCTGGCCGTCTATATTAAAGAGATAATAAAGTCGTTGTCATTCCCCGACCCGCATCATGGCGATCGCAAATATCCATCTTTCGCCCGCTCCTCCTCACCAACTTC